CCTCTTCCAGATAACGGCCATGAAAAGTCAGTTGCTGTTGATGTATTTGAATTCCCTCTTTAGCTTTAATTTGTTCTTTCACATGCTCCACGGTACCTTCATAATCCACCTTCACTATTATTATTTTTCCTGTAAACGTTTTTATATGGACATCGCCTGCGAAATCACACCCTCCACGAAGAAGAAGACATAGGCGTATTATCGATCCTGGATGTATGTTATAATCGATCAACGTTCGTCCATCTTCTAGTTGTTTGTCTTTAAAGATGAGGCACTGTTGATCTGGTGGAATTCCTTGTTTATCTTGCATTTTTGCTTTCACATTTTCAATGGTATCGGATGGTTCCACGTCTAATACTATTAATTTTCCGGTTAAAGTTTTAACAAAAATTTCGCCACGGTGGAATCGACGATAGAGATACAGAATTGATCCATCTTGTATTCCATAGCTGTTCAATGTTCGATTGTCTTCTAACTCGATGGACTTGAATAATAGTATTTGTTCATCGATTGGTATTCCTTCCTTGTCTCGAATATTTACTTTCAAGTGCCTAATAGTGTCACTATCAGTAACATCCAGTGGTTTCTGTAGATCTTGTCCATGTATGTTCAGTACAAGTGATCTACCAGCAACTGGAACCGCCCATGAATAGATTTTAAGAGCATCAATAGTCACTGCTGGCACAGAAGCATTTGATGGTGTCAACCCAAGTAGCGACGAAAAAGCTGCCGTAACTAAACCAGTGTTAGATGATGTGGCCATTTAATAGAGTATCTGAAAAGTATTGCGGCAAGTATTAGCATATATCGATGCTAGAACATGGTAAATGTTTAATAATATGTAAAAAAATAAAAGATAATTCCTGATAAAATAGAAACAATTCGTTAAGTAGGGCACAGTCGGATCACTACGATTCAGAGCCGCTATGTAAGTGTATGGAAGAAAAGTTGGAAAGCCGCGCTCACTCTAAAATGAAGTCATCGCATACTAAGTTTATATATATTCATGAATGAGTGCTTAATTTTCATAAGTCTTTGTAGGATTTTGACCAAGCAATGCGATAGGTTTGTATAGATCTTGAGGGTGTGGATGTGGGTGGATGTAATCTTAACCACACACACCCTCAAGTTTTAGGAAATGCAAGAGTCTTATTGATTACAGACTGGTACCAAACACTTCTGGAGAATTCTGAGAAATCTGAAGAATTCTTCGGAATCTTAGGAAATCTTAAGAATCTCGAGGAATCTGAAGCACCTTAGAGAATCCTAAAGACTCATAGAGAACTCAGGGTTCCGCTCTTTCCCCCTTGCGTGAGCTGCATTAATATGCGGTGCATGATCATTACAACCACCATTACATCGTTCGTAAGAGATGTGTCGACCACGAAACACGATTTTCTTTTAGTGGAGAAATGTGCGTAAGACGTTTCAGGAAGATTGTGCAAGATATGAATCCGAGAAAAGTCAGAAAGACGTTATCTTTCAGCCACGAGTGTTAAAAAGTAATCTGCGTTGATGTTATTTGCTCTACGATTTTGTTTATATTATTCTGTTTAACTTAAGAGAGAGTGCAAGTGTGGGTATGGTGAAACATATGTCTTTCGTCGATAACAAGTTTAACGAAATAATTTTGTAGAATGGCACTTTGTTGACAGAACATTTTGTCAAAAAACATTTGGACAACAAATCAATTCATCCGTAATCAGAGAAAGCATAGATGACTTTAATAAAGTTAAAGTGTAGGCGTAGGGATGGGTATATGTAATTACCAAACACGCATCCACATCTACACCCATATCCAGTAGGTAAAAATCAGATCCTAAATTCTAGGGTCGATGGTATGGATCCTCATAGAATGTGAGGATGTGGATACCTCTTCGCTTAGCTCTGACCGTACAACCACACCGACAAAAATATCTTTTAACGAATCTAAGATTGTCAAGAAAACATATTGTGATATAAGTACTAATAATAATAGTTAGATAGTTTAACAAGCGTGATTAATAACAATAATAAAATATAAATAAAATGAAATATTTGTTCTTTGTATTTCGTTATGATTGTAAAAAAACATTTAAATTCGTTTTTTTACCAGTCTTATACATATAGCAGACAAAGAGCTAACAAGTTATTTTCATGATTATACAGTTAAAATAGCACTTTTATCCGACAGTCAAAACTTACCTTCAGCATGTCGCCTTCTTACGATAGATATAGAAATGAAGAGAAAAGTAATGAAATGTTGACAAATTTCTTTCCAACTTTATAAAAGATATTCTCCTTATCTATCTCTTATTCTTCCAACATGGGCAATGTAATCATAATGTTTTCTTTATGAAATCTTATCAAAAAGTGTTTCTTTTCTGTTAACGTTCGCTAGATTTAGCAGGACGATTACATTTCTTTCTTTATCACGCTCACCAATATCTATATTCATCCATATGTGTAGATAGTGCACTTCGATGAATAATATCAACAGCATAAGGATGTGGGTGTGAGTGTACATACTAAGCGGATCATCCACACTCGTTCCAGCAGAAGAAATTAACAGGAAAGACAGTAGTGGCTCGTTGAGTGAAATAAATCCTCTCAGTGATGATTTAACTAGAATATCCTTCCAACCTGCAAGTTTCCACAAAGAAGTGAGTGGCAATAAGATTAATCATGAGTTGCCATTTGATATACAAGGAAAACTATGGAGCAGACAACATAACCGTCCTACAGTTTCGTGATAGACCGACGCCATCTTTTCTCTTTAGCGCATCATCCGAAAATCTGAAGCCTGACTCGAGAAAACAAATTAAGAAAAATGAAAGAAAGCAAATCATATGGTAGCAAGGAAAGTTCTTTTCTGTACATTTTTCTTTTTAAAATACAGTTTAATCCACCAGTGGTCATACCCTCTTGAATTTGTTAGTGAATAAATTAAACGTTTAACGAAAACAAAAAAAAAGATATTTAACTAAATACAAATACTTAGTCAATTATTTACTTTCTTTTTTTTCTTCTTTTTGAGGTAATATGTGTTCACAAATTCGAATGTGATTCGACTGAAAAATCATAGCTTAAGTGTTACGATATTATTATCTTAGTTGCCTGTCAGATAGGTAGACTATACCATAGTATAGTTCAAATAAAATACTATTTTGAAAGTACTGAAAGAGAACTATAATAAATTTGTTAGAAGAATTATAAGAATTTTATTCTAAATCAATAGTTAATGCTATTTGTCGGAAACTAAATGAAAACCTAATAAACGATACGTTTTTGTAGAGTGATTAATTTTTATAATGATTTGTAGTATCTTCTAGTTTCGATTGATATATATTCAATAAATTGCAAATCGAATATACTAGCATGAAGAAGAGAAATGCGAGATAGTATTGCAGGAATGTTTGTACTATGTTGTTGTTTATTACTATTTAGTATTACTTATAGGTACAGATGAAATAGGTGTTGATTGATATCTACTTTGTTTATGAAAAATAGTTATCCAACTAATGTCTTCTTCTGAAGAAGAAGAATTTTCACACGAAAATTTAATAGTTGTTTGACTAGAATCAATTTTTTCAATTAATTTTCCTTGTTGTTCAGATTTTGCTTTTTGTTTTCGTTTTGGTAAAGGTTATCAATTATTAACAATTAAAACATTTTCTATAGCTCTATCGGATTTTTTTGCTGAATATTTTCATTTGATGAATTTATTTGCATATGCGTTAAATTTTTTCTTTTTAATATTGATTTATTTGATATTGTTTCCTTTTCATCAATAAATAAAACTAAATCATAAATATTATTATCATCACATGGTTTTATTTTCAATCGAAGAGTTTTATTGATCTGATGTATTTTGTACTGTACGTTTATTTATTTTAAGTTTTAATCGTTGTTTTGCTTCTGCATTACGTGGATTAAATGCACAACTTATCATTGTATTATTTGATATAGACATACAAGTAATACAATCATTTGTATTTGAAAAGTCAGGACAAAATTTACAAGAACAAAAATCACAATTTTTATTGTTTGAAGAAGATTTTTGTAAATTATTTGTTGATTCAAAAGAGGATAATGATGCCCGAATTTGATGAAGAAATTCATCAAAATTTTTACATGTAAAGGTTGAATCAGTTTTACTTGTTGATGCTAAATAAAGAAGAAAAATATATAGAAAGAAAATATTCAATTGATAATTAACCTAATTTTCGTGATAGATTTATATTTAAACGTCCTTGATTTGTTAATGATAAACGAGATGATTCATCCGTTGTTATTGGAGCAAATGTTCCAGCTATAAATGAAACTGATTGAATTTCTGCTGATAGAAAAGATGAACATGTTCGGTTTTCTGGTTTAGTTCAAGAGGGTATTGTTAGTGAACGAAGATTAACTCGAAGTTTTGATGATATTGATAATGGAGGTTTAGGTGATAAAATTAAATCATGTGCAAGAGAAGTTTTAGATGATAATGATGAAGAAGAAGAAATATTTGAAGTTATTGAAGTTTCTTTTCGACAATTTGTTGAAGATTTGGAGTTTTTCGTTGAAGTTACTGAAAAATAAATATACACCCTAGAGAATTTTGATCGGAATTGTTTATCATAACAATCGTATATGACTGATAAAAGAAAAGTTTAGTGTAATGTTCAAAGATTAGACTGATAAAAGTTTTCGTTTTTTTAAAATTTACTATTAGCAATTGGTTTTTTATCATTCGTATTGTTTTCCTTCGTTATTATTTCTTGTTTTTCTTCATTATTAGTTCTAGTTGTTGTATTTTCATTGAATTTTAATTCATTTACTTTATGTTGAATTTGTAGCTCAAAAGAAATATTATTTGATATTTCATAAAATAATTCTTCATGAGTATCATTATTATTTTCAATTAATTCATCAGATTCTTCTTTCGTATAATTTGATGATGCTGTGTTATTAAGAAGATATTTATCAAATGATTAGATACATGAGGATTCTTTGCCATTAACACCTAAATCTACTGATGAATCATTTGAACCTTGTTGAGGTGGTAGAGATGGAATATTCATAGCATTTTTTGTCGCACTAAAGTAGAAAGTTTTTATTAAAAAACAAAAAATGATAGCAACTGAAAAGCTGAATTCCTTTCAAAGAATTTAGAAACAATAAATTTTTATTGTTTGATTTTCATGAAAATTATTTTAATCCTTCTTAAAATAGATCATATTTACGATGAAGAAAAATCAATATTTACTCTGAAAAATTATTATATTGAACAGCAATCCAATACTGATATTTTCGAAGCTAAATTTTCATGGAATAAGATAAACTTTAATAAGATATTATTTATAAATTTTGTTAGAAAAAAATTAAACTCAATAAATAATCTGTAAATCTAAGAGTAATGGTATGACACTGAAGTTTTTTTCCTTAGAGACAATCCACAACACATACAAAATACTTCATTTATATGCATTAATTGTTTATTGTATAAAAAGTATTCGAATTTAATTCTAACCTATTGATATTATCTTTAGTTATTTTTTTTCTTCTTTGTCACAACAGCAGCCTTGGGAGTGCGGGTATGTGTATTATTTCTGTACTCTTACCCACACTCATTCTTGTTCTTTGTGTTAATTTACGAAGAACAACCTGCTTTTTCATTCCTAAGTAAAATTTTCTTCTTAGGAAATCTTTGTTTCGTTTCATTGACCAACAATGAATCACGTTGGACTTTATTGGATAATCTTCTTACTTCGTTATTTCTCCTGAGAATATCACCCATGAACAACAAAGAAACTCATTTGTTGATAGTTTACTTGTGACGGTTTCTCGTAATTTTATGCCTTTTGAGTTGATTCGAATCATATTCACTACGATGATATTCAATAAATCTTTTTGTTTATTTGCAATAGGATCAGAAGTGTTTATCTTTGTAGAATCTTATAGCAAAATCGTCTTCTACTATGGTTTGTACAAGCTAAATTTTCTCTGCATCCTGACAAAAGAAGTAAAAAACGCTTGTTTTTTTTTGTTTTAAATCGTATAAAACAAGATGCGATAAGAAAGAGTGAGAAAGAAAGAAATGTTATGCATGCACAGTGTATGTGAAAAGAATTTTGTTGCATTTTTCTTCTGATTTCAACTCACGCATCATCGATGATTTACCTTGAATGTTTTGATTTGATTGGCTCGATGTAGTCATTGCCACTAAAATGCACAGTAGAAAAGAACGGAATTCACAGCAAACGTAAACCAAAGAAAGAACGAAAGTAAAGTAAAATTTGATCGTTTCACTAAAATAATCATCAAATGACTACCTCAAACAAATGAACCTTCTCACAGTACAATCACCAATCTTATTAACAATTATACATCAGTAAAATTTATTCTAACTGTCTTGGTGATATCAATTATTCAACTACAATCAGCAACGAATTTCAGTGTTCGAATTCGATTCGTTTCCGGTCTTTGCCATTGAGATCAATCTTCATATCCTCAAATCTTGTCGGATTTGTTTCTCTGATATCTTAAAGTCGAAATAGCTAAAGATAACAAAACTAGCACGCATAATATTATTCGATCTCGTACCAAATTCATCAAAAGAAGCATGCATGCATAACATCTTCACAACTCTTGTTGGATCTGATGTCTAGCTTTTCATTTGTATCTCTTATCATCTGTACATTTGCACGACATCATACGCCACTTTCATATCTATTTTTTTCTTTTGTTTCGTTTCTTCCTTTTCTTCAGTGTCTACGTAGACGTATCTATCCCGTCAACGTGCCTATGCGCATATGTGTTGTTGTGTGCGTAAAGTAAAAAGAAAAAAGAATCGAAATAAAATCTTAAAATGTGTATGCAAATTATCTTTTTATTCTTACCGTTTTAGAAGTTTTAGTATTTGAATTGTGTGAAGAAGTTTCTTCTTATTCAACATGGCTACAGCAGGAGCAGACGATGAGAAATCAAGTTCAGAGCGTGTTTTGCGCATCACTGATATTGAGAAAGAACCACTCGAACTTCTCTTACCCATTGCCGGCTACGAACAAATGCCACTTGTATCACTTGAGAAGGCCATCGAACCACTCGTTCCTCTGCTGCCACTCATTCGAACTTATGCTTATGTTGCGAAAGGAAGATGCGAAAATCCTGCTGATGATCTTACTCAAGACGAATCAGCTTCTATTATGTTATATACTATGGAATGGAAACCACGAAATCAATGTCTCTATGTCGCTCTGAACGCCACACTACGATCAAAAGATCGAGACCAACTCACACCATGGTTCCTTTATTTGAGACTTTTTCTTAATGCACTCCTTCGCTTACCGTCAATATCACGAACAGTTTTTCGAGGAGTTAAGTTGGATATGAGTAAAGAATATGCAACGGGAAAAACTATTGTCTGGTGGGGATTTTCTTCATGTACGGTTATTATAGATGTTTTACAGTCAGAAGCATTTTTGGGTAAAACAAGTGAAAGAACATTGTTTACAATTGAATGTCTTCGTGGGAGAGACATTCGTAAACATTCTTATTTTTCATCCGAGGACGAAATCCTTCTTGTACCTGCTACCCATTTCAAAGTCGTTGGTTGTCTCAATCAAGGTTCTCTGAATCTTGTTCATTTACAAGAAATCGAACCACTATTTCCACTTTTACAACCGATACTACCACTGTTAGGTAAGTGTCACTCCTAGAAGAAGATTTTCTCGCTTGATTCTTTTTACACTTCATCCAATTTGTGTTGATAAGACATGTTTGATGAAATAAACATGCACTTTGATTAATACTAGCCACCCAGTGAAAAATAACCATTGAAAATAACGGTATAGAACAAGTTCCAAAAACAAAGTCAGCTTTTTTTAAGAAAAAAAAGCGTTCCACAAAATTTGGAACGTGTTCCAACATGGAACGGTCAAGAACGCATTCCACTGTTTCTGGAACGGTCAAGAACATATTCCACTGTTTCTGGAACGCTCTTTTTCAGGAAAAACAGGCATTTATTTTTCTGGAAAGCGTTCCCGATAATTATCATCTACATGCACATTCTCTACAATAATCTTCAAAGAGAAGTAAGTACAAGATTCGTCAAGAGACCTCTTCCAATGCAACTTTACGAGCTCTATCCAATAGCGTGCTCAGATTTTTTGTAGATTAAACTATAGAAATTATGACATGAAATATTTTTTTTGAAAATTGAGTTTGTCAGCTGGGAAGTACAACCTAGCGAATGTTCTTCCATTTTTTATGTTAATTTTAATCTACCGTACTTCAGCATAGATAGTTTTGAACCAAAACTGGCGTTAAATTTAGATGAAAGTGTTCCATAATTTAGAGAACGGCGACGGATTCATTCTACTCTTGTTAAGAATAATATTTGGTTATCTGGAATGCACTTATCAGTTCAAAGAATTCGTTCGCAGACGTTATTTTAAGGAACGTCAAAGAAAACGATCTCATTTTAATCGAATCCAATTCTAATCGTTCCAAGAAAGAATGATAAAAAACTCATTCCACTAGGTTTTGGAACGGGCTAGAGCGCTTTCTGTTCATTCGAAGAACGATTTTTGAATCGAGAAGAAAGCGTTCTATAATAATATGGAACGGCAAAGAATGGGTTCCACTAAATACTAAACATTCTTTTGCCATTAATGAATGCTTTCGTCAAACTGCAGAAAGCGTTTTCCTAATGCAGGATCAGTTTCCATGTTTTTACGAATGCGTTTTCTACCGTTTTTTTTCATGGTCATTTTTCACTGGGTGCATGCTATCAAAATAGTTCTTCACTGAACGAATCGAAGGTTTTTTTTGTCTTCGGAGATTTCTGGTGAAAATACATTTCGTCAGCTCAATAAGATCATATCGAAAATGATCAAATAATCGATATTACAACAAGATTTTGTACTTAGGTATATCCATAAGTAATGTCGTCTCTATTTCTTTTTCTTTATTAAAGTGTCAAAAGAAAATGAAACTGGATTTTTTTGGTACTATTTCATAACTATCTAAGTAAGAGTCACACTAATGAAATTTCGAGCAGAACTGTATTCGTGTTGATATGCACGAAAAGAAGGTTAATCGAACGAATATGTTGCACATTAATTCAGCAACGCTTTATTCCATTCAATGTTCAAAATAATGACCTTGATTATCCACACACAACTATATTCTTTCAATCCACTTATCAAATGTTTTTTCTATACTCGTCCATACTCAATGAGTACATAAACTCCGTCACAGAGTTATCTTAGCCTTCGTGGAATCGTTTACACCATATTTCAGCTGTTCTAAGGCCAGGAACTTGATCACCACGAACAGCATATAATTCGTCGTAAATCACTCATGGTTAAATATTACGCGTGATGCGCATTTCGATATGAAACCGGATTTTTTTCTTACTCATTTAGAAACAGATATAGTAATCAAGTTTAATTCGACTCTCATTGCCCTTTTGGCTTTCCTTGAAGTATACGAATAAGCTATATCTATACGAGACTAATAAGATGTTGTGGACGTGTAGGCGACAAAACCTACGAGAAAAAAGAAAAAACAAAGGAAAAGCTAAGTTTGCACGCAAATGATCGATAATATCACATAATATCAAAATTAAGTTTCGCACAAAGACAGTTTTACTCGAAATTTCATTGTAATGACTCTTAGTGAGATAGTGATGAAATAATATAGAAAAATCCAGTTTCCTGTTCTCTATCTTCCAGTAAAAAAAGATAGAGGTGGCATTACTTATGGATACACCTAAGTAAGATGGATGTGTAAAATATGTTTCCTACATCGTCTTCGTTTCATTGCGGATAGATTTTTCCTTCGTTTTTAAGATAGAGATTTTATATTGATTGTGAATCAATGAAAGATGAAAGATTTTTCATCCAACAGTATCTCATTCAAACAATATTGGTCATTTTCTTCGCTGTTATTCATATGTAATCAAACAAAAATTGTTCTTCTTTTAGTACAACCGAGTGTTCATTGTGCATCTGATATTCATTCCAACAGCAAATGGAACCAGAAAGGAGTGACTATCGCTGGTGGAAATGGTCAAGGAGATCAATTCCATCAACTCTCAAATCCTTGTGGTATCTATGTTGATGATGATCATCAAAGTATTCTCATTGCGGACTATTGGAATAATCGTGTTGTAGAATGGAAGTGGGACAAAAACGATGTTGAAGTTGTTGTCAATGGAAATGAACCAGGAAATCAGTTGAATAAATTATCTTGTCCAACCGACGTCGTTATGGATAAAAGTGATCATTCGCTCATCGTTTGTGATCGAGATAACAAACGCATCATACGATGGTTTCGTCAAAATCCTACAAATTCACAAATTCTCATCTCTAACATTGATTGCTGTCGTCTGACACTAGATCAAGATAGAAATCTTTATGTTTCTGATTCGCAAAAGTGTGAAGTGAGACAATGGAAGAAAGGAGAAACAGAAGGAACCATCGTTGCTGGTGGAAACGGAAAAGGACATCACTTCAATCAACTTAATCGACCTACGTATATCTTCGTCGATCAAGATCAGTCTGTTTACGTGTCGGATTGCTCGAATCATCGTGTGATGAAATGGATGAAAGATGGCAAAGAAGGAATGGTTGTGAGTGGTGGACACGGTGAAGGAAACAGTTTGACACAATTGTATCAACCTCAAGGAGTCACTGTCGATCATTTGGGTAATGTTTACGTTGCTGATTGGGGAAATCATCGAATCATGCGATGGTTGAAAGAATCAAACGAAGGTTCGATTATTCTTGGTGGTAATGGTCGTGGGCAACAATCAAACCAATTCGACTCTCCTTGCGGTTTATCATTTGATCGACAAGGAAATCTTTATGTTTCCGACTGGGGAAACCATCGAGTCCAAAAATTTGAAATGGATTTGAATTGAAGTAGTTTTACGTATCAGAAATGAAAGCGAAGTTTGATTTAAATAAAAGTATAATATAATGATGATGTATACCGAGGGTGTGTATATTGTGAATGTGGCTGTGAGAGTGAATAGAACGAG